TTGCATTAAGTATCCGTGCAACAACAACGACATCTGATATCTGTGTACCAGAAGCAAATTATTACTTCTAAAGAAATAGCACACTGGGCCTTTAGACTCGGTGTGATTACCAGATGCGTAAATGCATGCAACATGAGTTTTGGAAGATCATATCCTCGTATTCATATCTAAATATAAGTTCGATACGAGTGTCAAATACAAATGATTTAAGAAAAATGAAGATTAATGCAGCTGGAGCAAATAAATTCATAACTAGCTCAAGAGGCACATCGAATTTATTCAAATTAACTAAAGCAAAGCTTATTGGAGCAATTTCAAGATCTCCCATTAGGATATTTACCCAAAAATATATCACAATGCATAAATAATTCCACCTACTCCTGTTCTTTGTTGATTCAGTCCTCCACTTGCAGCAATAAGCAAATAACCATTTGATTCTTTCTCACTAATAGCATCTACATATCAAATTATCAATGTAGATGATGAATCAGTGAACTCAAAAGACTAGATTGATGAAACTTAAAAACGAAAACAGTGCCAAGTGATTTCTTTTACAAGAAGTGAAAACAGATGATACATGAAATCAGGTAACTAAAACCATTATACTGATAACTATGCTAAAAAGTAAAAAAAGAAGCATCAGCAAACTGCTAAGAATGAGTTAATTTGGTCTTATTCTAGACCTGGAAGAAATCATCTGTAATTTAGTTTTATCTTCAAAGTTGAACACCAATATTATCAGATGACAAATAGTAAACATAGGCAAATTGCACTAAGAAATAGCTAAACATCATAGTAACCGATTAACTTTATGATGTACCAAGGACTCATCCATTTCAAAATTAGCAATTACTAATCAATAAGAGCACCATAGATTTGCATTTGCAAGCTAACATGAATACTTCAACAAAAGATTTTCAAGATATCTTTGTAGTCGAACACAAATGTTGAACATGAATACTTCAACAAAAATGGAAAGTCTGAGCATAATAGTTTACCGATTGTCATCAAAAGAACCTAAAGCTGCTGCCATCATCTAAAATCATAAACTTAAAAGAGATGCAGAGAATTTGAACTAACATAAACACCTAAGCAACAACTTTCATTTTGCGCCTGTAAACGCTCTGTCATGAGTTAATAAGGAGAAACCAGCGGTGAATTACAGAAAAATACTACAAATCCTGTTGGAATTGAAATGTGTTTCTTAATCCAATTAAGTAAAGAATATCAAATATTCCAAAAATAAACCAAATGCATATAACATAAATAAACACAACGTACCAGGAAATTTAGCACTACTTTCGCTACAACCATAGACGTATTTTGCATATTCAGATTTCCATGTATCAATCGGTCCTTTATTGCTTTCATCCTACAGCATTTGCATAAAAAAATGTTAAAAAAGAAGCAAATCTCAACATTAAACAAACAACACGAACTTTTTTTCTTTCAATTTTCATTTTACCAAATGGAAGAGGCTTTGTCTCGCAAATCGCTGGGAGTACCGCTCGAGCTCAGACGCCATATGGCCGGTGAGGAGCGAAATCACGCCCAAGCAAAAGAGCATCAAGCCACAGATGACCGACGTCAAAATTGGCTTCCTCTGCGATCGCGGCCTGTTAAACACATTCTTGTTGCTTACGACGCTGCCGTTTTGATGCTGAAACAGCGCCATCTTGGCCCGTACCTCGCCTTAGCTACGCCCATCACGGACTCAAACAAACCGACTCCGCCATTAATTTCACCATTCTAATCACACGAAATCGCCGCGTCCCACCTCCCGCTCTTCCCAACGACTACGACCATCAATCGGTAAACAAGAATTAGGATACGATTGTAAATAATGCGATGACGGAGGCTGAAATCGAAGAAAAATCACGGTTCTCCCTTCTTTCATGCGATCCACACTCTCAAAGCTTGTTTGAAATGCTACAGGTCTCTGATTTTGTTTATAGATGCCTCAAGATAAAAAACGAAAACACAAAAGGAACATGAAAAATTAGAGATTAGAGGGAGAGATGCATGAGATTCCGCCGGGTTATGGGGAAGTTGATGAGCGAGGAAGAAGACAAACGGTTTTTTAAAATATGCCATAATTACGAGGGAAAGTTTAGTTATTGCCCGGGTCAACTTAGTAATAACATTAAAAGCTAATATACCATAAATTGTATTAAAATTATTTTTTAATCATTAAATTTTTAAATATTATAAAATAATTATTAAATTTGTTAAAATATTATAAAAGAGTTACTAAATTTCTTAAAATATTATAATAAAAAGATTATTAAACTTATTAAAATTTATTGTTATGTATGATGGTACATGAATATTTTGATAAATTTAATAATTATTTTATAATATTTATAAAGTTAAATGACTAAAATAATCCTGTCATCGTAGTTTAGTTTCTAGTGTATTTTACTCTAAAATCTAATTTGAATTTGATACATAATATATTTATATTACATTGATTAAAATTTAAGTTTGTGTGTAAAAACACGTTAAAAACAGAAAATATCATTAAAATTTAAGGTAAATTACGTATTTAGTATATAAACTATCAATTCTGATATGTTTTAATACCTAACTTTTAATTTTTCAAAATCATACTTAAAGTTTAATTTTTGTTTCATTTTAATACATGTCGTTAAAAACTTTAATTTTTGTTTCATTTCATTACTCAATTCAAAATTTAATATTAAGTTTTGAAAAGATTGAAAGTTTAGGTACTAAATCGGACCAAAACTGATAGTTTAGGTACTAAACAGTTTAAGTTTTTAATTGTGGGTACTAAAATGAAATTAAAACTAAACAATATGTATGATCTAGAAAAAATTTAAAATTTACATAATAAAACAGATCAAAACTAATAGTTTAAATATTAAATGCATAGTTTACCTAATATTATCTTTTTATTTAGTAAACCATTAAATTCAAAATTACGTATGCAATATGTGTACATATATTTATGATTTGATCCATGTGTTTTACATATGTTCTACTTTAAATTTGGATTTACGTTTAACATCCAAGTTGATGACTATACTAGCAAAAAACCTATTGAAAAGATTGAGCGATTAATTAAAATGTTTTGAAGTTTATAGATCAATTTAGAAATATGATTATAGTTTGTGTATGTTTGATGCAATTAACCCTGTTTCTATATACTTGACTATTATAAACCAGCCAAATGTTTTGAATCTAAAACTCCATTTGTTATGACAAAAATCATGGACCCATCCACTAATCGATTTAAGTGTGAAGCTGTTTGATATCGATTAAGTTTTCGAGTTTGAGTTATTGTATATACATAAATTTTTTTATTGAAAACTCACCCATCAAAACTAGGTGTACGACATATAGGGACAACAGGGTTAGGTTAGGGTCGGGTTTTTGGTCAACACGACCTGACCCAAAAATATTAACCCTTTACCCAACCTGAAAATTTTATACCCCACATCCGACCCAACCCGACGCAGAAAATATATATCTTCCACCCGACTTCGCCCGAACCAATTTTTTAGTGTATAAATCCGACCCGACCCAATAGACCCGATATAAATTAATGATTTAATTAAAAAATAATAAAAGTTTTAAGGAAAGTACAATATTATCCTCGAGTCAGAGTTTTTAACCCTTTCACCCGAACCTGACCCGATTTGACTTCACCTCTTAAAAAATCTGACCCGATTATATCGAAATGGATCAGAACCCAATAAATGAGGGTAGAATTATTATCTTTAACGACACGAGTTGATTTAAATCAATTAATACGAAGTATTGGAGCCGGAAGGAGGAAGAAAAACATGGAAGACTTTGGCAAACTAAAATTAGCAGCCCTCCTCCACTCATGGGAATGCCTTGAATCTAAAGCGCGCGTGTAGACTGGTGCATGCCGTGAACAGTATCTTTTTCCCGATGGTTTGAAGTTCCCTAGTCTCTTTCCTCATTGAAGACTTAGAATTTCTCTGATGGCATGCTTTAATTTGTTAAGTCCATGAATGAGTCGAGTTTCAGGTCAAATGAGACATTGGTATCTTTTATTCAATAAATTTAAAAAATATATAGTCATTATAATAATTATATTTTAGAGAATATTATAATAATTTATTCAAATCAAATAAAAGATTATTCTAAACTCAAATTTAAAATAAAAATCGCCTGTACTAAATTAGAGCCGAGTGGGTTCAAATATTTGACGCAACTGATGGGAGGATCAAACACGCAATCGAAGAAACAAAGGAGAAAAGTCTTAATGGAAGGTTGTCTGAAAAAGAAACCTCAAGTAATGTAATTAAAACGATGAAAATAAACTGATTTTGGTCAAATCTGAACCTAATCAAGCTTAAACTAAGATAATAACCATATATATATATATATACTAGGGTAAATTATGTGTTTAATATCTAAACTATCAGTTTTGATCCCTTTTAGTACTTAAACTTTCAATTTTTTCAAAACCATAGTTTTTATTTCATTTTAATACCTCTCCGTTAAAATCTTAACGGATAATTTGCTTGCGGAACCTTTACTATGGGTATATTACATCTTTTAAATTTTTTAACATAATTATTTAATTTTCAAATTACTCATAATTCAATCACTCCAACTTCAAATTTTTAAATTTCAACATCAAAATAGGAGTGAGAAGATAGTTGAGTGATGAATAATATAATTTACTCATAAAAATACATTGTCGTTAAGCTTTTATTGGTGAGGTACTAAAACGAAACAAAAATTAAAAATTAGGCATGATTTAAAAAAAATAAAAATTTAAGTACTAAAACGAATTAAAATTAATAATTTAAGTACAAAATTAAAGTATTGAAATTAGAACGTACATTAATTATATGGTTAATTAAGTTCTATATCCATTAGGATTCTATTTTATTTATTATTTTTTGGGGGTTTTATCCTAACCCAAATACATAACTAAACCTACCATTTATATAATTCTATATTTAATGATCAGTTCAATTCCCAGAACGCAACTACCAACCGCAACTATGCAGTTTTCGTTATTTCGTTACGATTCCATCCTCCTCTTGTTCCTTTTCCTCTGTTTTTTCCCACGTGCTTGTTTTCCCGCCAGGATCACACCGGAGCAAATAACCGTCACGACCACCGGCGACACACATACGCACAAGGCCACGTGGTTTAACTTCACTCGCTTTAAAGACGCCGACAACGGTAGCCACGTCATCTCCGGCATGTCGGAGCTCAAGAGATACTTCCAACGTTTCGGGTACCTCTCCGTCCGGAACGACAATTTCACTGACGTTTACGACACCCAATTTGAATCCGCCGTTAACTTGTACCAGAAAAAGTTCGGGTTACCGGTAACTGGGAAGCTCGATTTCGACACGATATCGACGATCATGTCACCGAGGTGCGGCGTCTCCGATTCGGCCCCCACGAAGATCCATGCATCGAAACACTTCGTGTATTTCAACGGACGGCCGAGGTGGAACAACGATTCGGCTTCGACGACGACGCCCATGACGTTGACATACGCATTCTCCCCTTCCAACATGATAAACTACATAAGCTTACCGGAAATCCGAACAGCTTTCAAACGCTCGTTCTCGAGATGGGCTTCGGTGATTCCCATAAACTTTAATGAAACTGAAGAATACGAAAAAGCCGATATAACAATCGGGTTCTACGGCGGCGACCACGGCGACGGGGAAGCATTCGACGGGGCTCTAGGAGTGTTGGCTCATGCATTTGCGCCGGAGAACGGGAGGATGCACTTCGATGAAGATGAAACGTGGGCCGTAGATTTCAAGAAAGCGAAATCGAAGTTAGCTGTTGACTTGGAGTCGGTGGCGACGCATGAGATCGGTCATATTCTAGGGTTGGGTCATAGCTCGGTACAGGACGCCGTCATGTACCCGAACTTGAGTCCTCGGGCAAGAAGAAGGGAACTGAAACTTGACGATGTGGAAGGTGTTCAAGCTTTGTATGGGTCGAACCCTAACTTCGAGATCAGCTCTTTTTCAGAATCAGACAATGTTTCCGACAAAGGAACTGGACTCGTCTGTAGATCATCAAACTGGACTCTTTCTTTGGTAGTGCTGGTGTTCTTCATTCTTTTGGTGATAGTTTAGGCTCTTTTTCATAGGGTTATTTATGGGTGAAGAAAGAAAAATGGTCACACCCAAACAATTTTTTGAAACAATTCTTTGGTCCTTTAAGGAAATAAATTTGTAATTTTACTAATTCGATTAATCAAGTTATCTCTCAAATTTTTAGAATCTTTCATGTCTTTATATTTAATTTTATTATCCTATTTGTCTTTTTTTTTTGGGTTACAAAGAAAGGTTGAATTAACGGTTAAGAGTCCTCTTCTTCCACTTGTCCAAGTCCAGTTGGAGGAGACGATGTATAATAGCTGGCGGATGAGCGAGTTCTGACCGGGCAAGAGTGCCTGTACGTCCAAGTAGTGCTAACGCATCGACAACGCTGTTAGCTTCACCGTGAATATGCTGGAAAGTGATTTGCCACCGGCGATGCAGGAGATCTCGAATACAACAGACCAAAGCTGGTTCAAAAAGGGAAGAAGGTGAAGAGAGAATCCGAATAGCTTTTTTGTTATCCATCTCGACTTCGTACTTCTGAATCCTCAAATCCATGCGACCTCTAAACCATCAGTAAGAGGCCAGAGTTCGACATGGAGAATGAAACAACGCCCAAGCTACGATAACACCTAGCAATCCAATCTCCTTCGAAATTACGAAGGATGCCTCCTCCTGCATCTGTTGTGTTTTGATTCACGGAATCATCGGTGTTGAGTTTAGTAACGCCATGCAGGAGGCTTCCAAAATTGAATTCCATTCCTCTGAATGGTACACTTGGGTGCGATTTGCTTTGATGGATTGGGCCCAAGACTTGATGGACTGGATAATAGTGTGGGTGGGCTAAATTTCTCCTTCGAAGACAAGACTGTAACGTTGTTTCCAAAATCTCCAAAGCATGATTCCAAAGAAACGTCTCCAGTCATAAGCACGATTTCGCCTTCGAAGATAAAACCGCAGTGTTATCTTTTTTTCTTCTTCCTTTTAACATATTAAAAAAAGCTTTACCAATAAAATTGTGCTAAGTGCTATAAAAATCATAAAAATTATTATCGACTTTAATAAAACAATAGGGCAAATAGCATAAACGGTCCTCGATAATAAAATATTACTTTGTTTAGTCTTGACTTTAAAAAGTATAAAATGGTCCCATGATTATAGGGAGTTGTTTTGTTGAGTCTTTTGACTATTAAAAGTTACAAAATAGTCACTTTATTATGTTCCATTCCAAACTTGTTATTTCTCATTAAAAAGTTAACGGTAGCTCATTCCCGTTAAAAAGTTAACAGTTGTCTGAGCTATACGTTAACATGCTGACTGAGATATAGAATGATTTAGAGTTTATAATTTAGGGTTTTAAGTTACGGGTAGGGTATAGAATGCTACAATCGAGTAATTTAGAAAACTAAATTGATGCGGAAATACAATATGGGCGAAAGTGATAAATTATGTCTAATGAGAAAAAAATTACCCCTTAAACGAGATAATATTTAATTTGTATTTCACACACAAATTCAACTCATAAATAAAAATTAAACTCCATACTAATTTTAATTCATTATTATCCTCGAATGCGAGTTCTTTTATCACACAACATTTTCCATTTCAATCCAACTACAAGCAGTTTCTTTTATTACTCTTTGATCCCTCATGAGCTTTCTCATTACACTCATCTCCCCCCATTTTTGGTGGTATGCAAAAATGTTAGACATCATTACATAAACATAATCACTGTAGCCCTCCAATTCAATCAACTTTGCTGCTGCAACCATTGCCACCTTCAGATCCTTACAACCTCCGCAAGCACCGAGCAACGCCTTCCAAACCACACCACAAGATCCGAAGCCGAGTTCATAAATCAGCCTCCCCGCTCTCCGCGTCTCTCCTCCTCGACCCATTAGCCGAATCAGACAACAACAATGCTCGACGGTGGGCTTAATCCCGTAATCATTGATCATTGACTCGAAGTACAGATACACCCATTGAAGTGACGTTTCGTTGTGAGAACACCCGACGAACACGTTAAGAAACGTGACACAATCGGGTTCCAAGTCCCTTTGAGTTATGAGCTGCTTGAAAAGCTGGATCACTTTCGTTGAATCGCCATTGTGAGCATAACCGGAGAGCATAGCATTCCAAGTCACCAAATTCTTTCTTGGTAATGATCGGAACATAGACTCGGCGTTCGTAACGTGCCCGCATTTGGAGTACATGTCAATGAGAGCACTTCCCACAACAACGGATGTATCCAAACCACACTTTATTGTGCAACAATGGGTTAACATTCCCCATGTTAAAGCTGAGAGACCTGCAATTCCGCTTAGGATTATTGAAAATGAGAACTCGTCCATTTGAGCATCATTGGAGTGCATTTCATTGAAAAACCGAAGACCCTCCCATGGTCGGTTTCGATTAACATATCCGGTCAGAATCGAAGTCCATGTAGCTGAATTCGGACTCGGTGTATCGAGTAAAATACCAATTGCATCATCTATGTTTCCGAACTGAGCAATGCCACTGATCAATTCATTGTAAGATATAGTATCACGGGCCGGCATTTCACTCCATACACTAAAGGCTTGCTCAAGGTTTCCATTTCTAGCACAGGCGGCTAAAACTGAATTCCACGAAATAATGTCCTTATCAATCATATTGTCAAAAACCAAAATGGCGTCGCCCACAGCCCCGCATTTTCCATATGAATCAATCAAGCAATTCTCAACAACAATTGCACATTCAAAGCCAAACTTCAAAACGTTGGAGTGAATTGACTTGCCTAAATGCAAAAACCCCAGCTGACCACAAGCAGCCAAAGCTGCAGTAAATGAGTACTCGTTGCAACAGATTTCGGACCTATGAAGCTCAAGAAACAAACCCAAAGCTTTACGGAACTTCCCAGTTTGAACATGCGCAGAAATCATAGAGTTCCAAGAAATGACACTCCGTTGAGGCATTTCAACAAACAGCTTATTCGCTTCACATAACGAGTCGATTCGCCTATAAAACCTCAACAGAGCGTTAGAAACAAACGCATTGGAGACAAACCCAGTTTTTAAAACGTAACAATGAAGCTGTGAGCTGTAAGAGTCAATACCCAGATCAGTCGAGACCCGAACCAAGTGAACTAGGGAGTAGTCATTTGGTTTAATGCCGGAGTGGAGCATCTTGGAAGCCTCGTGTAGTGTAAGGTCCATGTCGGTGCCTCCTTTAGCTAGTGTTGAAACGAGAGTGAGCCATGGTTCAAAGCTTTCTTTCGGAACTTTGTTATTGCCATTGTCGCTTCGAGAAACGAAATTTGAGCTGATTAAGTGAATTGATAAGAGATTATACGATTGCTGCTGTTGTTTTAGCTGGTAGTGGTAGTTATTGACTCTCCCCAAGAGTGTTCTTCGCATAGCTTTGAATTTATGGCTTGGAAATATTAAGAATCTTTTGATGCTCTAAACCATTTGAATATATTAAACTACGCTTAAATGTAAAACAAGCGTTTAAATTATTTTGATTTTTACAAATAAACATCTAAAATATTTTTAATTTATTTTAATATTTTAATATTATAAACATTATCATTTTAAATTTTCGAGCCGTTAATTGTCAATTTCTTAACACGTCATAATTTTAAAATTTTTATTTTTTAAAATAATAATTTAAAAAAAAAATTAAATAAAAAATACTTTTCCCTTACCAGCTTCCCACATCCCTTTTCCTCCCCTGCTTCCATGACATTTTCATGGCCCGGTCAAAGGCCAAACGATCAATTAAACAGCTGATCAAATGGACGGTTGTCAGAGCCGGTTACATTATCACCATCGACCAATGGAATTTGAGGATTGGATATCTGGGATAGGGATTAGGGAATAAAATCCAGAAATTTTGAAATTTTGGGTTTCGAGGTGATAATAAGAGTTGTGACCGGTCATTAGGTGGTCGGTGACGTATTAGTGATACGATATGGGTGAATGACTGATCAGAGATGACTGACAATCAAAGTAAATAGGACTAGAATAAAAGATTTTAAGTATTTGAGTTACTTTGATATTTTATGAAAAAAAAATAGGAATTTTTTGAAAATAAAATATTTTTAATTTTTAAAAAAATTAATTTTCAAAGTTACCAGATTATGACACGTGCACTTAACAAATGAAACTAACGCTGTTGACGACACCTAAAATGATAATGTTTTTAACATTATATACCAAGATTAATTAAAAAATACTTTATTTATCTATTCACGAAAAATAATATAATTTAAACAATTATTTTATATTTAATCCGTTAGACTAATAGAAACATATATTAAAAAAAAAGCACTTTATGATGAAGTTATTTTCATACTGTTTCTGATTTGAAAAAAACTCGAGCAAATGCTGCTGTACTACACTCAAGCCTACGTTTTGAGTCGAGGGATTTACTAGTACAGTGCTCATCATATGGTGTGATAAAAAAGGAATTTCAATTATGAGTGTTTGAAAAAAACACGAATTAAAAAGAGATTTTATTTGCAGTGCCAACTACAATAAACCAATTTCGTCCGGACAAAATGGAGCTGGTCGAGATTACGCAGAGGCGCGTTGTCGGCGAGAGTTTTCGGTCAGGGTGTCGGGAACCTCGATTGCAGCTCTGTGCGAGAATGTCTTTTCTTTCTACATGGTTAATGTAGCAGCGAGAGTTTTCGGTCAGGGAGTCGGGAACCTCGATTGCAGCTCTGTGCGAGAATGTCTTTTCTTTCTACATGGTTAATGTAGCAGCAAGACAGTTTTTCATCCCCATCTGATAATGGCAGAACCCCAAGTTAGACCTGCACCGAAACCCGAAGCCACGATTGTGTGGCCTGGCTTCACCTTTCCGCTTCGAATAGCTTCGTCCAGTGCCAAAGGAATGGATGCGGCACTCGTATTGCCATAATTTGCCAGATTTGAAATGACCTTTTCCGGTGGGAATTCTAGCCGTGTTGCAACTGCATCGATAATCCTCTGGTTTGCCTGCATTGATCGAAGTCTAGTTAGATTTTCCTGGTCTATAAATCAATGGAAGAATTATTCAGAATACTATCCTCAGCTATCATATATGTGAACCAGTAGCTATGGCTTTACCGGTCACTTTTCATGGGCATAGTCAACATTTAATATTTTTTTTCCCAACTGTAATGAAGGACAAATCTTGGCACCAGTAATATGGGAGTGTTCCGGGACACGGTTAGGCCAGCAGGCCAAGTAAATGGAACGATGCATTTTAATGAAAGTAAAATGTATACCATCTTTGTACATCTAAATGATACATATATACATACCTGATGGAGCAATAACCAGTCAACGTCCGATGCTTTGAGGTCTGCTTTTTCCAAGGCAGACTCGATTGATTGCGGCACACATTGGACAGCAAAGCGAAAGACTTCTTTACCATTCATCTGTATGCAGGCATAAGTAGACCTTTTAGGAGGAAATTCTAACACCGAACCATTAGAACCCAATCGATCATTGATTTCGTTGTCATTTATGGGGACACCGAGATGTCTGAAACAGGAGTGTGACAGCTCAGTTGAATTACTCAAAAGAAGCAATATGATATATATATATATATATTTTTAAAAAAAGCACATACCTTGCACCCTCACCATCACTATGCAAATCAAAGCTTAATAAACCATCCTCCTCAGCATCACAGGCCTGCAGAATCATTTGTATCTTGAATCAGTGAATGATATCATATTCCATAGCAGAAGAGGTGTACATGGTTACTATTTCTTCGGAAGAAACCATTTGACCGAAATTCATAGAACTTAATAAATAAGCTAACTTGAAAAGAGTGAACTGATAAAAACTCGACATTGCCTCGTACAGACAAGAGTGGACTTATAAAAAGATGGTATTAGTGCGTTACCTGAACTACGACAGCACCAGCAGCATCCCCAAAGAGAATGCATGTTCCTCTGTCGGCCCAATCAACAAATCGAGAAATAACATCAGCTCCAATTACTAAAACATTACGCAAGCCACCTCCTGTAATTCACAATGGCAAAAGTTTTATTCCATACCACATTAACGGCTTTAAGAGTTCGATGCAAAATGAACAAATTCATTACCCCGAATGTAGCAAGAAGCTGAGAACAGACCCAGCACAAATCCACTACATGCCGCAGTAATATCATGCGCTAGTTGAGATTTTGTGCAGCCGAGCTCCCTTTGGACCTTACGACATAAATAAAGGTTGCCAGAACACAAACAAATTAGTGATCCGTAAAACATACACGATCACTGTCTAAATAAGCACGTAGCAGTATGAAGACCCACATACAAAACTGAAGACAAGTGAAGCTCATGGAAAATCAACATTTTGAATTATACTAAAGCTGTATAGCCAAACAGTTATCTAAACCAAACCCTGTTCGAAAAGTGGTATTTTCAGCAACACTTGATAAAATCAACTACTACGTTCATGAAATTCACTAGAACATCAATTACTTCCCTCCCAAAGAGAATGCTTAAACATAAAATCAAAATCTCCGGTCAAATTTCTATTCTTCAACCATAATTCACGAATGCGGCAAGAAACCTACTTTCAGATTATATTTGGTTATACCACTTCGCATGAGTTTCTACCACACAAAAATCCACGGAAACCCCTAATGAAACACAAAAGGGTGAACCAAAAGAAGTTTTGAGACCAATATATAATCTATTAATATCGACAAATTTTCTCGAATTCAGTGAAACAGAAAAGCTTGCATGCACATACTCAACATTTCTTATAATACAAAAAACATATATGATCATATGTGGTAATCAAAACAAACAAGTTAGTGAAGATAAATCCGAGACATCTCACTTGTAAACTCCCTCTTTATATTCAGAATATTTAGAAGCAGTCGTATCTAAAATACATAGAATAGAAGCATGCAATTGTAGATTTTAGAAACCTACATGTAGCTCAGAGAGAGAACAAATCATAAAAATTGCCATGTTATTAAAGCATCCTTAATAGATTCCATGATTAGTATTGACCCTTTCCTCTATACCTTTGGAGCATCACCGAAAATATCTTCCGGAGTAGATGTGCACATCAGGATCAGGTCGAGATCATCGGGTTCAACATCTGCCATTTTAAGGGCTTTCCTTGCCGCTTCAACCGCCAGGTTTCTTAAACTTTCCTTTCCTGTAAGAGCAACAGTTAATTGTTATTTCCTCCACAAAGATACAAGGATGTCAAATAAAAGAGAAAGATGTAAGCTTCAATGTTTCGTAAAAAAGAAAAATATGCTACAAGCTTTAAGCTAGGGGTTTTTATCACATCAGTGGAAGTTTGATACAAGTAGGAAATGCCGACAAAAGATAATATTCTACAATTGCACTGTTATGCATTAGACTATGTTCCGACCTGAAATAACCCGTCGGTTACGTATTCCAGTGCGGACAGATATCCATTCATCAGAAGTATCAACAATTTTTGCAAGATCATCATTGGAAACTGAAAGAGATGGCACCGCTGATCCACAACCAACTAGCTTGCAGCCTTTACTGACAAGCCTGTATTTTTCCAGCAGAAAAATAGGAAAGTAGAACGTACATCAGGAAAATCATCATCTTTCAATGTTAAACAAGTAGATAAAAAAATAAAAGTGAACCAGCATCTCAATTCTGAACGCCGGACTAGATTTGAAGCACACAATAAATACCAGTGACAGGTGTAATTGTTTGACACGATAAATTAGGAAATTTCAATGTCGAAGGGGATTACATGTAAGCATTTTACTTCAACTAAACCCTACAGTCCCGCAAGGCTTCTCCATCGCCATTATAAGAGAAACAAAATGCTTCTAGTGTGAAACTATCAATCGGTGTCCTCCCAGAGACCAAACAGACCAAAAGATGAATGCACCAATATTATGTATCTAACTCTAACCATATTAATCTCAAGCTTGTAAGATGTAAAGTAAGGTGTGCAGATTTTAGCTTACAAGGGGTCAGGCTCAGAATGAGATTTCTTTATACATATGGCGGAATCTCAAAACCACTAGTTATTTCCTCTATTCCTATTTCATAACCAGAGCAAATTTTCCTATAGCATATATAGACATGGATAACTACATACATTATTTCAGCAACAAGCTCGATACGGTAAGTTGTTCTTGGTCTGCCACATGCAGTATCCTAAGCTGCTGATTATTTCGAAGCACCATTCTTAAGTTGGATGCCGAGTTTCATTAATAGTTAATTCAGCTAAGAACACTAAGAGCATACAAATCCATACATCTTGCTGACACCGAATTTAATACATGCAGAGCTACTTGCATAAGTGGATTTGCAATTTCAGCTCATCACTAATTTTCAAGCCAGGCTTATAACCACTTAGGATGCGTTTGTTTCACGAAATATAAGATTACCAGTGGGAATGTAAGATTACTAAGAAATAGGATTACTGAGAATGTTGTATTTTGTATTTGGTTA